TCCCTCTTTAACATATTCCAGAGCTCCTGAAAAAGAACCTTATAGACTGTTAATAACTTCTACTGCCTGCCAAATTACACTGATTGGCAGATGGTGATAGGTATATAATTTTAGCAAAGGAAAAGACTAAAATGTAGAACTTCATATCAAATGTGAAAATGGAGAAAAACTCCAAATAGGTATACTTCTGTTGCTTTTTCTCTTTAATATCTCAGTAGGAAATGGCTAATGTCTTGCCTCTGGTCTCCTTTCACTGGGGGTAAGCTGTATAGGAAGCAAGTGGGCAGACTTAAGAAGTCAAAAGAGAGACAACTGTATGACAGATGAGAAATGTCTGAAAATTTCTCCATAAATCAGCGACAAACTGATGGAATCACAAAGACAGGGTACATGAGCTTCCAGAGAGCTATAGGAGGAAAACACCTTTTCTATGGGGGGGAAGCAGGGTGTGTGTGCTAGAGAATACCAGGCAGATACTACTTCAGGATAAGGGAAGGGGAACAATACTTACAAAATAGGACTGCAAAAGACTGTATCACTGTTAAGCAAAATTAGCTTGATAAGACCCCAGGAACATAACAGATGCTCAATAAATGCATACTGAGTGGAACATTTCTTTCAAAGTGCCATATTCTCTCCATCACTGTAGAAGTAGACATTATGTCCCTAGAAGTATTACTGAGTATTATCGCTAAACAGACAATGGGTTACCATTAGAAGTTTTTGTACTAATTTTCTTAACAAACTGCAGGTCTCAGTTTTCTAGGCCCACATTTTACATGAGGAGCAAGCTGACTTTGGGTATGGCTCTCCTGTGACTGATGGATTTGACATGTCAGTGTGTCTGATGCTGGAAGAGTCAGTTAGTGGCTACAACACTCAAACCATGATGTTCTAGTTTGGATTTTTGTGCAAGTACATTGGACAACTGATCGTATCTAAGCAACCAAATGAATGTTTCCATATTCTGTACGTGGATGACTTCCCTATTCAAACCCAAACGCCTCTAGAAATGAGTAAGCTGGGCCAGCGTAAGGCAATAGGGTGTACTGTAACCAAATGGAGAACACATGTTGACCTGAAAGTAGAGGCCAAGGCTTCCCTGGTGGCGCAGTGGTTGAGAGTCCACCTGCCGATGCAGGGGACACGGTTTTGTGCCCTGGTCCGGGAAGGTCCCACATGCCGCGGAGCAGCTGGGCCCATGTGCCATGGCCGCTGAGCCTGTGCGTCCGAGGCCTGTGCTCCGCAACGGGAGAGGCCACAGCAGTGAGAGGCCCGCATACCGCAAAAAAATAAAATAAATAAAAAAATAAATAAAAGTAGAGGCCATCACTCAGCTCCAGCTGACTAATGACAAAAGTTTTGCTTATGGGCAGGAGCAGACACAGAACTGTTTCTTGAAGAAGATCTGGGATTATTCCACACTGCTGTGGAGGTCATACTTCTAGGGAATGATACTGATGCCTTCTAAGTTTACACGAAAGGAGCTCAATCATACCACCTGTTCCTTTGGTTTCTAAACAACAGGGTTCTCATTCAAGCAATACCTCACAGGTCCTCCTTTCAGCCCTCAGTCACAGACCATAACAATCCGACGGGCAACTCTCCCATCCTCCCCCCCTCCAAATAAAACCAAACCCAACAGAAAAGAGAACGAATATTTATGGAGAATGTTCTTTCCATCTATTCATCTAGGCTACTGTTTTCAAAACTCAAGAGTTCTTGAATTCTCTGTGAATATTTTTTAACCTTCTGTGTTCACTATAACGCTTATCTTAAAAAAATAACGTAAGCATATGGATCACCTGGATGGCAGCTTAGGAGCCGAGTGCTGGCAGGCAATCTCTGTTTCTGCACATGGAGTTAGTTAACATGCAACCCACTGTCTCCTGAACTGGGGTTCCCAGATCTATTCCTACATGTTCCTACATGTTTGGGGGTTTCTCAAAATCAATAAATAGTCCTCTAAGCACCCAGGTTCCAGCCGGGTGTCAAACTCACCTCTGAAAACTGCTTTCGCTGAGGTGTATTTTAATATTTTGCTTTTGCTTTTTATTGAGAAGAGCAGCCAGAGGAAATCTGTTTCCACATTTAAGGGATTAAAGCAACTAAGGATAGGATCTACTGTGTCATTCAGTGCTCTCTTTTCAAGCTTCCATATGAGCAGAGGGTTGCCCTGTTCAGCCGGCTTCTTGTCTCTAAAAATAAGAACTGCAGATCTGATTCTATCTCCTTTTTCACTTTGATGGCCAGGACGCTGGGGGCCTAACTTGACATTTAACTCCAGCAATTAAATAGACAGATGCTATGGCCTGCATACCTGTAGGCACTTTATTTTTGCTTTTCATTTTCAACTTTTACATACAACTCTACGGTTCTGATTCTCTTTTCTCATTAATATTTTACCACTATGTTATTGTATCTGTTCTCAGTGTAAAGTTGCCTCAAATCCTTTGTGCATAAGCAAGGCTTTATATATGTATATTTTAAAGCCATATATATATATATGGCTTATTAAAATATGTATATATAAAATAGACCTCTGCTCATCTGGGCAATGATAATGAATTTTTGATATGTAATATCCTCTAATGGTGACCTTATGACAACAGTAAGATTTTCCCAGGGCACCAGTTGCCAAATAAACAAATAGACACATACACTTACATACGAATATACGTATGTGTGGAGGGGAGGTGTGTGTATGTGTGTATGTATATGACAAAAAACGTGAAATACAGGCTTTGAGACAGAATTCCATACACACTATTCTGTGGGATTTTGAATCTTCAGAGGACTGTAGTTTCTAGTCTCATCTACAATTGAATGACTAATATAGAAATAGACACACTGTAGCAGGACACAAAATAAAGCAAAGATCACCCAACCAATTTATGGTGGCAAGAAAGAGGCAAACACCAGAGATCCTGTGACTGCTGTGTCATCTCAACATTTTCTCACAGCTGAAGGCAAGTCCTGTTCCTGAAGCCAGGGCTCTATAAATGGGGGCAAGGGCACTGAGGGGGCGGGGGGCAGTTATCAGCTGTCCAAACCGTATCACACTGGGGAGAGATGTAAAGTTAACGTCCTGATGAGAAAGTCGCGACACTTGGGTTTCTATAATCAAGAAGCAAGGAAAGAAGAAAGGCACTCCTCTAGAAGTGATATTTCCTGGGGACAAGAGACCTAAGATTAAAGTGTAGGGCACTAAAAGATGGCGAATTCCCACAAAGTAAGCCCTCTATGGGCTGATAATTAACAGCCACTCTAGAGGGAAATAAGATGATATGAGTCAGATCACTTGCTCACTCACCCACCCAACTACCCATCAGAACCTGGGTGCACTCTGAGAGGCAGGCAATGTGCTAATAACACAGACACAAGGACAGATTCTCTGTTCTCTGGCAGTTCAGATTCTAGCACGAGAGACAGACATGCAGAGGGATGAATACTGGAAGGAAGCACATCTGAGACGCTGGGAGCCCAGGACAAGGACCAACTATTTCTGTCTCAATGGTACAAGTTAAATATTCACAAAATGTCACCTACAATCAGCTAACTTCAGCAATACCAGAGGCTTGGCCATTTGCTGGTGGTTAACAGACGTTACTACCGGCTGGATAATAATACGGGTGGGGAGAAGCACTGAGAAGAGATTTATGCACGTGGAACTTTTAACGCACCTCTCCCTGCATGCTTGTATTTATAAAGGTCTTTAAGTCAGGAGCCTCCCCTCACCTTCTCCATCCCCCTGCAATGTCCAGAACAGCATCTTTGGATATGAACAGGAGGTGGGCACACAAAATTATAAAGACTATTTGCTCTTGAGGCACAATTTCAAGTGCTTCACATATAAAACCTCATTTAATTTACTGTTATTCACTCCATTTGACAGATGTGGCAACTGAGGCCCAGGGAGACCAAGGGATGCCCCAAGTTACACAGCTCCTAAGTGGAGGAACTAGTTTTCAAACGGAAGTCTTTTAATTGTAGTCTATGTTCTTCTTTAACCACAAAGCAAAGAGACACTACAAGTGTTTCTTCAAAGCAAAGCAAAGCAAAACAAAAAACATGCAGCCACTGGATTAAAAACTACAGAACTTGGTGAAACAGGTCTGGACTTTAATATAACCTTTTCTTGTGGGGGAGGGGCAGCTTGGGAGGAGGGCAGAAAATCTTCTGAACCCCGATTTCTTGTAGGCGGCAAATATGGACGCTTCTATATGCGTAGTTTTGTTATATTTGTCCAAATCCAAAATCATTTTCCTTGTGTGTCTAGGTGTTGACTAAATAACGTCCTCTAAAATTACTGACATTTCACTTACTTGAGTTTATTCTTTGTTTTTCTTCTGAAAATTCTGATGGAGGGACTTGTTTTAGGCTCTCCTCCCTTCTAGCATCTAAATTCAGTAAACGCCAGGTCATCACACACCAAGGGAGAAAGGTGGATTCTATTTGAAGTAATCTTATGACTGAAGGATCGTTTTTCTGGTCCACAAGGTTCCAGCTCCAACTAGGCCAATACTACTGACCAAGTAATGGCCAGAGGTGTTTCCTCTAAGTAGGAAAACGCTAAACTAGAGGAACAGTGTCTTTTCTCTTTCAAATTGTGGACACTCCAATGTGGTGTTAGTTACAAAGATTACCTCTGACAATAATGCAATGAGATCTTGAATGACAGGAGGGATACGACCACATTTTCCATGATCCTTTTCTTGCAATCCTAAAATTTCTGAACTACTGAAACACAGCAGCATGTGATGGCTACATGCAGTCTGTGATTACACTTCCAAAATGCTCTTTCTAATGGATGGAATGATGATTCCTTTCCTAACTTTCTCTACTGCCTAGTGGGATCTTAAACAAATATTCTTTCTGAGTTTCATCAAGTCCCTGAGTATATTCTCTGCCTTTTAAAAGACAGAAACAGCTAGATTGAACCCTCCCTCCTCCTCCTGCACAAACGTACACTCTCTGAGAACAAGAGAAACCCCACGTACCATTAACACATTCAAAGACATCACAGCACTTTCCAGGTGTCCCATCTCCACGAGAGACTATGCGGGGAGTGGATCCCACCTCACACACGGGGAAACCACATAAGCCAGAGAGACACTCGCATCTGAAACCAAAGAAAAGGGAAGGAAAACCCCATGAATAAACAACAACATAGAAGTCGGGAGACCACAAACAAAGTAGCGGTGGAAAACTATTCACCCCTCTCTATGACACTGTCCTGTTTATCTGGTGTCGCTGGGGAATGGGGAGGGGGTCCTAACATAATTGGCATTCCAAATAACTAAGGCTCATCTCCTTAGTATACGCCCAGATATTTAACATTAACCATTTTGACAGAAATATTCCTAAAATGCATTACTTCATTTCTTACTTAACCAGACTGGTATTGAGCATAACAAACATTTTCTTGATGACTCCGGGCCATCTTTACATGCATACATTATCCTGTTACTCCAGACATCAGTGATGCTTGCACAGTCTGACACAGAATGATGCTCCTGCGTTAAATGATTCTATGTTGCTGCTTGGTTGCTGTTGACCTTTAGGTGTTTTTCAGCAAATTTTCTGACTCGTCTTTCAACTAATAGGTTATTAGTTTTGGCTTTTTTTTTTTTTTTAATCTTTGTGATTGTGTCTAGTAGCATCCTCCTCTGGAGCTACATTAATTAACTTATAATTGTATATAATAAAAGAAATAGATTCTGATTGAAGACCGAGGAGCTTTATAAATAAAGGGCATAAGCTTTAGCAAATGGAGTTTGTGACAGCTATCTGGAAGCTGAAAGCCTTAATGCTTTGGATCTTCTAAGCTGCATGTGTGCATTTCTCTGAATGCAAACTACCTCTGTTGGCTCTCACCCTTAACTTCAACTCCGCTGCAAAACTTGCCTGCCCATAGGAAAATAAGAGGCAGGTAAATATAAAGAGGAGAAAAAGATACTGTCAACTGCCTGATGTTGATGTGTTGTAATGAAACAAGAGGCAGGAAATGAGAAGCTCAGGGCAGGAGGGTGTCAGGATGTAACTGTAATACAAGGAAGAAGCAGCTAGACTCTGCCCTGGGACTCCCCTGGCAATGGAAGCGTGGGTCAGAGGGTAGAGACGATGACTAAGGGAGTTCCCAGCTTGGCAGGAGTGAAAGGAAGACATCCTAAAAAGAGACATCCTTGCCGGAAGTATGTGGGTATTTATGTACCAGAGAGGCCAAGATCAGGGGAGGGTAACATTCCCAGCAGGGAAGAACCATTAGCACATTAATTCTGTTTTTTCCCTCTTCTTATTTGATTGTTTTGTTCTCCTATTTTTCTTTGGATCTTTCATAAATTAAAATATGACTGTTGTCCACAAGTACTTCCATAATCAGGCCTAGAGGTTTAAAGACATTTATAGTTAACTGTGGAACTAAATAAAAAGGAAACGAATTAAGTTAAAATTTGCACCAAACACCATTAAAGCCACTGGAAAGGTGTGAATATCCCCTCTCAGGCTTCTTCCATGTGGGGAGATGGTTATATACAGATTATATTGGAGAAGGTGTTAGGTAATTAAAGTTTTGCTGCAATGGTATTTCTGACTATGGTTTAAAATAAATGTTTGGCTGTTTTGTGTGCTCTTGATTCATAATCTCTATTCCTACAGGACAATCACCTTCTACAGCTGAGTAAATATGAACTGAGCTTTTAGTCCCTGGTAAGGTTATCCCACAGTCTCTCTTTTATGTGCCTAGGCACTGCAGTTTTAAGCAGATGATCATATCCCTGTGACATTACAGTAACAATAGCTCATTTACATTTATTGCACTTGACACTCTGTACAACTTAAACTCTTCAGAGTTTACAGATTAATGGGGGTAGAGTACTGAGAGGTCACACCCTGATCCCAATATCTGGATGTCATTACAATGAAAGCATCCTACAAGAATAGCTGACTAACCTTTTGCCACATCTTTGGGAATTCCCCTTCTCTCCCACTGACGTGTTCTAGGAAATTACTTTAGGTTAAACACCAGGGAGCATACGATCAATAAATACCTCCTCTGATGCCTTTCAACCCTTCAGAGACCTTTCCTCAACACCTGCGTGCCAGGCTTTCTGCTGGGCCGACAGAAATCACACCAACCTGAAAACCATGACTAAGTTTGCCCTTTTTACCGCTTTTTACATTTGATCTATTTCCCAACATTGAAACATCTCTCTTGTTTTCTCAGAGACCCATACAGGTTGTCTCCAGCATGTTGCAAAAGATCTAAAACTGCACAACTGCCTAGTGACTCACTTAGGAAAGGAAAACCCTTTAGGTTGAATTTTTATTTCTAAACCCAGAATGATTGCACACTGAAGATCCAAGGATTTAGATGCCCTGGTTTTGGCCGGCAGGCTTGCTCCCAGCTCCTTTCCCTTTTCTACCAGCCCCTTGGAAAGCCCTCCCTACTTACTGCCACCTTTTGATTCTTCACAGCTTCCCCGAACCTGAGACTAGCAGATGTTCAAGACCATTAGCACCTTAATAAAGAAGGAACTTATGAAGGAATCAGAGAAGGTTAAAATCTGGGCTGTCATCAGATATCTATCGAGCCAGTATCTATTAGGTTGAGATTTCACGAAACTGCTTTCTTTGTAGATCAAAAATAGTCAAATAGCAATTTCACAGAGTTCAACATAATGCAACTCATGTGAGTTATTTTTCGACAGATAGTCTACACACACTCTCAGGTAACAAACGGGGGCCTCATCAGGACCCTTATTTGCCAAGGAAATTTATTATGTCTATGCATAATGAATCAAAATCAAACAAGGTTTCCTATCCTGTATTTTCCACTAGAAGAGCCTACAGGGCACTCCCCTAGAGTCCTCTTGTAGTGAGTCACTGAATTACGGAACAACTGAAGCACTCAGACAGAATCTTGACCTCATCACCTTTTCTCTTCATTCTTATTCTTTTTTTGGTCCCTCCTCCCAATCTCCCTCTTACCCTTTACCCCAGTGCCTCGATAAACAGCAAGCAATGGAATGGAGAAAACATGTGGATTGGTGGCTGAGGGAACAGACTAACTTATGAGTAAATTGATGTCCACACTTACCCTTCACTTCTAAAACCTTCCCTCCTTCAACTTCCAGGTTCCGACCTGGTCTCCTCTCACCAAAGTCTCCCTTTCTCCCAGTTCATGCCACGCCCATCCTATGGCTCAGTTCTTGTACTTCTGTAGTCAAAAACCTTCAGTTACTCTTCATTTAACTGATCAACTTCTCAGCCTAGCATTCAACACTCTCAAGTCCACAGATCTTTATTCGAATTCAATCTCGCAGTATTTCTCTTCATTCTCCTGATGCTACAGTCACCTTCTATCCTCCAAACAAGCCCTCCCTTTGCTGTCTTTCCACTGCTCACCCTACTCTCTCTTGAACATTCCTTACCTAGCCCTCATCTCCAGCTGTCTGTCTAGATACCATCTGTCTTTCCAGGCCAACCTCAGATAACAGCTCCTCTCTGAAACCCCAAATACCATACTTCTCTTAGGACATCTGGAGCAGAAGTGCTAAGGGTTTTTAAAGAAAACAAATAAAATAACAGTTTTACTGAGATACAATTCACATATTGTAAAATTCACCCTTTTAAAGTATACAATTCAATGGTTTTTATATTCACAGGGTTGTGCTACCTTCACTGCTACCTAATTTTAGAACATTTTCATCATCTCATAAAGAAACCCTGTACTTCCCATTTCTCCTCTCCCAGCCCCTGGCAACCACGAATCTCTGTTCTTTCTCTATGGACCTACCTATTTTGGTCAGTTCACGTAAACAGAATCATGGGCTAAGGGCTTTTCAACCTCCAACAAGAAGCAACTTGCATTTGCCATTTGCCTGAAAAATCAAGCCTTTAATGTTATCCTCAGTATTAAGATAATCATCAGTCAAGGTACCAAACTAATAAATGTCTGCATAATGTAATCACAGCTGCAGCCAGGTAGGTTGGTGAAGCTGTCTTTTTTCTCTCTCCAGTAGGTAATGGATTCAGCTTAGTGGGCATGTGGGTGGCGGAGTACAAAGACGAACAGCACTCAGAAAAATCATCTAAGCCCCTAGAGGGCACTCCCCTCCTTAGGAGGCCCACGCTGGCTGGCTCTGCGGACTCAAAGGCAGTGCACACTCATGCATTCCCTTCCCGTCGTTTGTTTCCTGGTCTACACAGACAGTCCCAAAGTCCCAGCACAGCTTACAAGGTGCTCCCAAGTCTAGGCTCTACTTCTCCTCTAGCTTCCACATTCTACTGGCCCCTCTACATGCTCCTGCACACGTGAGTAACAATGGCAATGTGACATTCACTGAACCCCTACACCCACTCCCGTCACTCAGTGCCGCAGCGCAGCGTCCACTCCCGTCACTCAGCGTCCACTCCCGTCACTCAGTGCCGCAGCACAGCGTCCACTCCCGTCACTCAGCGCCACAGCTCAGCGTCCACTCCCGTCACTCAGCGCCACAGCTCAGCGC